CGCTTAACCAACTGAGCCACCCAGGCGCCCTTTTGTTTTCTTTTAAAGTGTTCTAATCCACTGCTGGTACTTTTTATAAAACACACTACAGGTGAATTTATAAAGGAACATGAAACAGGAAAAAAAAGACTGATACAACGTAAGTCCACATTTTCTTTTTCTTTTAAGGATTACCCTCATCAGATTGCTGGAAAAGTTTTTAAGTGCTTAGTCTCAAGTTCTCTACTTAGGCCAGTCGCCTGTGGACTGGCACACAATCCACAGACCCCACTGACAAACAGCAAATACTGCCCACCTACCCGGGCCTCCCAGGAGAGCAGGCACACGCAGTGTGCTTCCAGGGATCAGCTCATTTACTGCTCAAAGCAATCACTGTCATCACTCACATCTTACACATGGAGAAAGTGGGGCTCAGGGAGGTTAAGCCATTTGCCTAGAATCACAAGGCAAATCAGGAGGGCTGGGATCTAAACCTGGGACTACCTGTCTGAAGTCTGCACAAAATTCTGTTGTCTCCTGAGAGTGCTCAGAGAAGCCGTGCAATTAGTTTTCACTTTACCATTTAACTCAGAGTATGTCATCATTACCTAGGTTGTAGGCAACCAAGCCCTGTTTTCCTATCTTCTTCCTGTTTTCTGTGCTTCTGGGCATTTTAATTAATTAAGAGGAATACTAATGGTGGTAAAATTTACATCAATTAAGATATCTGGAAACAGACTGGGGAAAGACATGGTAACTAGGAGAGAAATGGCCACCAAAATTGGACTTTAACATACTTTTTTTATTCCATACTTCTCCCCCCTAATCATCAATGTGAGGTAAGGATGGCTGGATGGATTTCCCATAAAGCTTACCTTGACCAACAGCCGAATGCATTTTCTCCATGTCAAACTTAATTTTTGATCTTCCTGGGGTGCTAAGCATCTTTTCCCAAACTGTGGTTACTTCTTTGAGACAAGGAGTGATTTCTTCATAATCGAGCTTTAGGCGCTTGTTCAGCAAATCATTTTCAGAGGCTAGAAGACATCATTTAAGACCATGTTAGAGAGAATGCTATGGCTGCCTACTCACACAGCACTGCTGAGATGCTGAGCTGTTACAGCCAGCTTACCAGGTCCAAACTAAAGTCACTGTTCCTGCGCCACCCCATCTTCCTTACCTTGGAAAAAACTAAATGCACCTAGGAGGTATCCTTGATTTCTCTTGCCCCTTCATCACCCCCAATGAGTCCTGTTGGCTCTGCTATTACAGTACATCCCATACCTGTCCAGTTCCAGCAATCTCCATAGCTACCCTATTAAACCACAGATATCTCAAGGACAGGAGCAGTGTGTTAAAATTCCTGGTGCCTGGCATGCTTAGAGACCAACAAAATTTATTCATCTGAACCAGAAGAGACCCTCCAAGGACAGTTTCTCCTTGGTTAGAGCCAAACCTCCTTAGGTAGCTTCTACTTAGTCATGTTTCTGCTTCCTGCAGCTCAACAGAAGAAATCTGCCCCTCTCATAGGACGTTGCCCCAAATACATGAAGGTAGTTATTATTTCCCACCAACCTTATTCAGCTTAAACTGCATTAAAAATGTACCTAAATTACCAAAATGGGGTGGGGGAGGGGAGAGGAATCAATAAAGGAAAAGTTTAACTTGACAATTCTCAGGATTCGATCAGACAATTTCACTCCCATCTAAAACCACTATATCCTATTTCGACAGTGGTAATGCTGTCAGCCCCCAAATCCATTCCACCTCACATCTCAGATCCTGATTATGAGTGTATTAGGACAGCAGGTAGGATGCATAGCTAAGTATAAGCCAATACCTAGGCCTCTGCAGAACTGATCAACTACTGTCTTTTATGATATAATAAGCAAAGACTATGTCCTAAGTACTTTATATTTAGCAACATTTCATCCTAATGACTCTCTGAGGCAGGGTTCTGGGTGAGAAAACCGAGGCACAGAGGCTGAGTGGTTCCTCCACGGTTCTGAGCAGGAGGTGGAGGGGCCTGGGGCCCTTGCCCTTCTCCACTGCCCGGCAGAGCTTGCTGTTCTTAATTATACAGTTTTTCTGGGATGAGGCATATATCTATCGGGGGTCTTAAACGTTTGACAGAATCCAGTGGAGCTTTCTGGGCCTAGAGTTTTCCGAGTGAAAGATTTCCAATACGAATGTGATCTCTTTAACAGATACAGAGCCATTCAGATCTTTTTCTTCTCATTTCAGTTTTGGTAAGTTGCACCCTTCACGAAGTTTGTCCATTCCATCTAAGCTGTTACGTTTCTTGGCATAAACTCATTTTTTGTCCTAGAGACACTGATAAGTCAATGCAAACATCTCATGAGTCTGTCCTCCCCCAACCCCCTGAAAATACGTGCACTCTCCCCACCCCCACATTATTCAGGAGGAGAGGAGGCTGCTCATAGTCAGCCCAGGCCCACAGAAGTAGGAGGTGCTGGAGGCAGGATGTGAAGACCCCCGGCTTAACCACTACACTTCTGTGTACACTTCAGTGCCTATTATTTTTAAGATGGGAATTACAGCTACCTTACTGAGTTGCTCTGATGAGGATTAAAGGAGATGAAATATACTAAACATCTACAAAATGTCTACTAATCAGCAAGTGCTCACAAATTATCCAAAATATAAAGGCAAATAAGGAAAAGCATAAAACACTGCTTTACTAATTAAGTGCTGATAACATGAAATAAAATATTTTCTTTTTCCATATTAGAAATTGAGCAAAGGCTAACTCCGTTAATCTGGTTAATGCTCCCCTAACGGTAATACCTGATTCACTGGATGCAAGGATTATGTACTTAACTGACCCAATTACCACCTTCAGGTACAAATGCACCAAAAGATGGTGCTGAAATGGCTGCAGAGCTCCCTAGCTCCCTCGTCCAGCTCTCATTTCATGGACACAGACACTGAAGTTCACAGAAGGTACAGGGCTTGCCCAAAGTTAATCACCAGCTGGTGGGTAGTCAAGCGACTCTGGGCCTGGGGCTGCCTCACCTGTGATTCTTCATCTACCACTTTATCCTCTTCCTTCTTACTTTGGATAATACGTTTTCTAAGGTCCCACTAAACAACCCTGTGACAAATCGGGTTCAGGACTAGCTTTGCTGGGGACAGAGATTGCAGGTAGCACTGGGCTCTCGGTGCCAATGGACGTTTCTCTGGCAGTGAGCTCTGCTGTGAGCCTTTGGGACTGACTGAAGAGCCCAGCAAGCAACATGAGGAACCCGCTCTGAGATCAACAGAGCGATACCATCCAGCCAGAAGATTCAGCTGAAAAGGCTTAGTCCGTGTATTTCACTGTTGGCCCAAGCACCATCCTGCTGTGTGAGTATCCCAACACTGCTGCCTAAAATCCGTAGCCTCCAAAATGTCTTATCAGGCAAGGCAGTTGGTGCATACTTGTGACAAACGTCAAGGCTCCCAGCCAAAGCCGTTAGATATAAGACCAAACTGTTTATTAAATAAGAGTCTACAAACCCATGATTGTGCTTTCTGGGGCTAGGGCAACCAGGACTACATGAGATCAAAGGTAACTCTGCAAGAGTCCTCTAAAATACATATTACCATTTACCATGGATGTATGAGTGAACTTGGACTTTGAACTAATAATCTTCAGGTCCGATTTATGCCCATTACACAGGGTAGGCTGGAGCTGCCCATCCCCAATCCCGCACTATTAGCAACTGCCTTCACAGATAAAATGTTCTTCCAACTGCCACCATTTCTTAAAAACTTAGTAAGGAAAGGCTAAAAGGCTGGAAGCATCAATGATTAAATGACCTCCAAACCTGTACAGATTTTAGAAAAATTACACTCAATCTTTATTTTTTTATAGCCAATAGGAAAAAAGCCTTTAAAAAAATACCTTCAGTTACGATTCCATTAAAATTCAAAATTCAAATGTGTTGTTATACCACTATGCAGATATAGTGTCTTTATTTTTTTTTTTTTAAGATTTTATGTATTTATTTGACAGAGAAAGAGAGCACAAGTAGGCAGAGAGGCAGGCGGGGGGAGAGGGAGAAGCAGAGCCCGACGCGGGGCTCGATCCCAGGACCCCGGGATCATGACCTGAGCCGAAGGCAGCGGCTTAACCGACTGAGCCACCCAGGTGCCCCCAGATATAGTGTCTTTAATATGAACTTTAATATGAAGTATGAAATTCTGAATGATATGAGTCAGTCCAACAAGAAATACTGTGCTAACCCCAAACCATGGCTGTACTGAACCACACCCTGTCCTGCATTAGGCTGCCTGCATCTTCATTTACAATAGGGGGAAAATGGTCCTGCAGAGGGGCACGGCGGAGACTGTTGGCTGGGGAGACAGGAAATGCATTTTAGACCCAGCACCATGAGAAGTTAGCTGTTTAACTCTGGGGAAATCAGAATTCAGCTTCCAACTGCCTACAATGGAGTGAAGTGGATTTAGATGATGTGGTTTGGTTCTTTCTCAGATGCAGTGGTTCTGGAATAGTAACAGATACTTAACCCACATATTCAAAAGCCAGGAAATAGACTTAAGCATAGAAGAACCTCCTCATACATGTCCTTCTAATTTCTTTCCCAAACAGCAAGCAATTCAGCTTTAACACCTGATCAATTTCAACCACTCCCATATATAATTTAACTTTCCTTTAAAAAGCAACTAAAAGTGGCACCTGGGTGGCAGAGTCAGTTAAAGGTTCGACTCTTGGTATCGGCTCAGTTTGTGATCTCAGGGTCCTGAGACTGAGCCCCTCCACACTCAATACAGAGTTTGCTTGAGATTCTCCCTCTCCCTGCCCCTCCTGCTTGTGTGCTCTCTCCCTAAAATTAAATAAGTTGGGGCGCCTGGGTCAGTTAAGCATCTGCCTTTGGCTCAGGTCATGATCTCAGGGTCCTGGGATCGAGCCCGTGTCAGGCTCCCTGCTCAGCGAGGAGTTTGCTTCTCCCGTTCCCTCTGCCCTTCCCCCCACCCACGCTCATGCTCTCTCTCTCAAATAAATAAAATACAACCTTAAAAAAAAAAAAATCTTTAAGAAAATAAAAAAAACTTAAAAAAAAAACCAATGCAATAGAATGACTGTCTCTCTAGCACACAGTACACTCCCGGTTGGTTCTTGTCTAATCTTGCTTCTGTATTTATTTAAAGATTTATTTATGTGAGAGAGAGTGAGCACGGGGCGGGGGGGGAGGCAGAGGGAGAAGAAGAGAGAGTTCCAAGCAGACTCCACGTCAAGTGTGGAGCCAGAAGTGGGGCTCAATCCCACAACCCTGAGATCAACGACCTGAGCCAAAACCAAGAGTCAGATGCTCAGCTGACTGAGCCACCCAAGTACCCCTTGTTTCTGTATTTAATGAGAAAGTTCTGTGCCCATCCCACACCAACAAAGCTTACCAAATGTTTTTTAGGCAATTCATGGTCAGGTTCTTATTGATGATTAAGCTTCTCAGCAATATAGGTACTGTAATGCACTGAAACCATGCTTTCTAAATTATATTAAAGAAGCTTATTATGCTTTCACCACAAAGGTAAATGCATGTTGAACTTTAGAGAGCTAAGAAGAGAAATTAACTCAAACAGCAAGAACGGAAGACCAGCCAGGACTGACCACTGCCAGATGAAATGAGGAAGCAGCAGAACGGTGCTGGCAAGGGCTAGTGAACGCAATGCAACACCTGGCAAGGTGTTCCAGGGAGCCTGACGGAACTCTTCCACGCTCATTCTTCTCTGTCTGGTCATCATTTACACAGCTTTACAAAAGCTCCGCTTCTGTGGCATACTGATCTTGCCGCGTCGATGCAGTCACGATGCCTCCTAACATCCCAAGAAGCCAGCCAGCACCATTCCCATGTTACAGCTACGCCCTGATTTTCCATGGCTGTCATTTCCAGGATGACTGGCCAGGATAAGTATTAGGACTTACGACCTACACGACGAACATAACTGCCTCTCCGCTTTTCAACAAAAATCCCAACCAATAGACACGAGTATGAGTGCTGTGCTCCAGAGCCGTCATTTAGCTCATGCTCATTTAGCACTTGGTGATGTCATCACGGTCAAATCTCTTTCCAACATCTGCTTTTACTTGTTTTTTAAAGATTTATTTAGACATCTGCTTTCAGAATGGCCTTCAAGAACACACAAGAAAACAGCAGGAAAACAGAGCTGGAAGAAAACTTAGCATTCAGTGCTATAAAATCCCCTTGCGCGGCACCCCTCCCACAGCACCATCCGGGGATGACCGGTCTGCCTCAAAACCGGGGACGGGGTGGGGGTGGAGCCCACAGTATCCGTCAGTGGCCCATTCCAGCCACCAAGCTACTTTCATAACAAAAGGTCTTATTACTTTGCATCTGACTTCTTGTTTTTGACCAAAGATGACACACTTCTTTGGACTATGAACCTTATTCATCAGACTCGGTGTCTTAATAACCTTCACCTCTATACAGATCTTGAGATAAAAGATGAAGATCTGCAGTCAAGAAGTAAGTTCAATGAAAGGTACTCTACTTCTACAACTGCCCTGGCCATGGCAGCACGACTCAACTGCCTCCCTCTGGAAGATACGTCTGACTTCCTGATCAAAATGCCCACGATTTCCCATCCAGCCAGCGCTCCATACTCCTAGACCCATGTTCTTTCCATCAGACCGCCCACTTAGCTTCTGAGCTACTAGGAAAATAATATTTTTTGGGTCAAGCAACAGTACAGAAACAGGAAATGAACAAAATCTAAACTTGCAAAGTTCATGTCTTATTTTGATACTGATATAACCCCTGGCAAGAACTTGACTGGTCTGAGCCTCAGTTTCCTCTTCAGGCTAATATATGCCTTCCAGAGCTGTCAGCATTAAACGAGTCTGTCTATATAAAACCTTGGTATCAGTTCAGGTAGAACTCTGCTAACGCTAAAGCTTAGTCTTCTTCAGATCACCTGCCACCCACCAAAAATGCACACAGAGTGAGGTTACGAACTTAAGTGATTTGTGTAGGATTAGTTTATACCTACCAGCCAAGCACAGACTGTGGCTGAGGGCAAAGTAGGGAGAGGGAGAGAAAACAAAACAAAAAACACTCTTCAGAGGGTTGAAGCTTACATTTGAAGGTTGTCTCTTGGAAGTTCTACATGTTATGCTAAAAATGACCATATAGGAATAATTTAATATAGTTGGTGAGATTGTCATGAACTCTCCAGAAAGTAAAAAGCATTAACTCGACTTCGAAAAATAAACATATTTCATATATACACATATGTACGTATGCTAGAGGATCTTGTTTTTCTTTTTAAAGAGAGCATACTTATGTCTGATGTGATTCACTTCAGAGCCAAGATAAATTATCAGGCCTGTCATTCTAAAAAAATGGCAAACCAACCTTGCAGCTTCTGATTTTCCTTCTCCATTCTGAGGAGCAGTATCTGTTGTAAAATAGCCTTTTGCCATAACTCTCGAAGCTCGCGAGATGTCCTTTTCTTTTCCTCTGGGACGGGGCCGAAGGGTCCATCTTCACAAACTGGTTCTAAAGGAGATCGTGGTGGAAGCTCTCCCAGTTCTGAGTAATCTGGGGATGGAAAAGGACATTTCAGAATGGTCATTTTTTTTTTTTAATACAGATTTAAACGTAGTGTCAAATCAGAAAATTTCTGTTCATTCAGATTTTATGAAATGGTGTCACTGATTTAAAATTCAAGTTTTAATATGCATTGAAATAAGTTAGGTCTGAGCCACAACCATCAAATTATACATCAAATAGCAAGCGAAAGTTGGAGGAGCTGAGGAAATGTTCAAAGATACCTACTTTTAAAGGTGTAATATTCCTGTTTTCTTCTGAGTTAATGACTGTATTATTGGTAATGGCAAACATTCACAGAGTGCTCACTCTGTACCGATTGTTCTGAGGGCTTTATGGATACTAGTTTATTTAACACTCAACCACCCTAAGATGTAGCTACTATAACTATTCAGTTTTAAAGAAAAGCAAACTGAAGCACATTTGACACCTGCCAAATGTCACAGAGCTAGGAAGTGTAGAACCAGGATCGGGGACCCAAGCAGACTGGCTTAACCACCATGTTATAAGGCTAGATATTCTGGAAGAAGATTAATGTGTATTTAATAGCCAATAACAACAGTGACCATTAATGGGTCCTCTACCAAGTGCTGGGCACCATGCCAGGTGTTTTATATAGACAGACTCATTTAATCCTGATGACAACTCCAGAAGACAGGCATTAGCCTGAAGAGAAAACTAAGGCTCAGAGAAGCAAAGGAAGTTGCCCAAGGTCGGACAGTGAATAAGCAGGTGTGGTGGGATCCCAACCAATGTCTGCCTGACTTGGAAGTTCATGCTTTCTGCTCAATATCCCTGTAATTCAAATGTTTCCTATGTCATCAAGTTTAAAATTTCCATTTATTAGTTGAAATCTCTTTACATTTCATGAATTTGTACCTTTCTCAACTGCAGACCCCATGTGGCTGGGACACAGTGCTGTTGTAACTCACAAATACCTTACAGACAAGCAGAAAGAACATCCCACCAGCTTACTCTGAAACTAGCTACAAACAGCAAAAGTTCTCATAAGGAATATTATTCAGCCATCAGAAAGGATGAATAACTACTGTCTGCATCAACATGGATGGAACTGGAGGGGATTATGCTAAGTGAAATAAGTCAAGCAGAGAAAGACAATTATCACATGGTTTCACTCCTATGTGGAACATAAGGAATAGAGTGGAGGACCACAGGGGAAGGGAGGGAAAACTGAATGGGAAGAATTCAGAGAGGGGGACAAACCATGAGAGACTCTTGACTCCAGGAAACATACTGAGGGTTACAGAAGGGAGGGGGATGGTGGGATGGGGTAACCAGGTGATGGGTATTAAGGAGGGCACATGTTGTAATGAGCACTGGGTGTTATACACAACTAATGAATCGCTGAACATTACATCAAAAACTAATGATGTACTTCTATGTTGGCTAATTGAACATAATTAAAAAAAAAGTTCTTATATGAGTGGGCCCCATCTGAGGCAATGCATTCCTGGGTATTTCTCTCTAAACTGAACCTAAGTAAAATCACGGTCCTAACATTCTGTGAAAAGCCCTTGACAGACAACCTGAATTTCACAACCACTCAGAACACAACATACAATCTCTTCCAGTGTACAGTTCCAACAAAATTCCATGCCACAATTAATTTCCAGAACAGTTTCAGCATTGACTGCTCATTATCTAAAAGTGGGTTTGATTTCCTGCTATGAAATCTATGAAATCAAACACAAGCTACAAACACAAGCTACAAGTTTCATTTTCTAAAGTGACTTGCCCATCTTAACTCCTATTAAAGTTACTGGATTAAAAAAAATTATGATAAGCATTAAGAATGCTTTGTGATGTCTGTAAGCATTTAAATGCTTATCATCACATTTCTATCTATGTCTATTTCATTATGATCCTATTAAATGAAGGAATAAATTAAAATTCTTCTTTTGGGGGTAGTTTTTATGCACGTTATAGGAGGATGCTCATGTGTAATGGTCAGTATAAAAGCAGGAATCACAATTGTTGTATGGTAGGATCTCAACCTTAAAATTATTATGAAGAGCAGGACCATTCAGTGACTAAAAGGTCAGGCTCTGGAGCCAGGCTGTCTGGGTTTTAATTAAGACTATGCATTTTTTGATTTTGTGACCTTCAGCAAATTGCTTAACCCCTTAATGCCTCAGTTTCCCAATCTGTCAAGCAGGAATAACAGCACCTCCCTCACAGAAGTGTTACAGGGACTGGGGTACCCGGGTGGCTCAGGAGGTTAAGCGTCAACTCTTAATTTCAGGTCAGGTCATGATCTCAGGGTAGAGAGATCTGTGCTCTGTGTGGAGTCTGCTTGTCCCTCTCCCTTCCCCTGCTTGCATGCGCTCTCCCTCTCGCTCTCTAAAATAAATAAAATCTTTTTTTTTTTTTTAAAGAAGTGTTACAGGGATTGAGTTAATTCATATCTTATAAACTACCTGAAACGGGGTCGAACACACAGTAAGAACACAGTGAGTACTAGCTTCTTATTGGTTGCTATTACATAGTCCTTAACGGCACAGAAAAAAACACTGGAAGGAAACACTTAGAAATGTATCCACTCAATTGTAAGCTCTAAGAAGGCCAGACAGGCCACCTTGTCAGTGAGGGTTCACCTAGCACCCGGCACAGTGTCTGCACCTAGCAGGTGCTGGGCAGATCCTGCTGAAGAAGAGAGATAGGTGGGTGCTAGGTTTGCATGTGCTTCCTGCTCTTTTTTGTATTTCCTAAATTTGTGACAATAAACGTAATTTTTAGAACCAACTGAAGAAAAGTAATGCAAATCTGTTCCGATTTATATCAAAGATTGCAAAATGTTCTGCAAAACACTTAGAAGACAAACCGATCCCCCCCAAACTTGTGTACTTAGCATTAGTTGGTACTGAATATGATACAGCTGAAGTTTACCCTTTTTTTCAGAAGGCATTTTAGTTAGTATTCTCATTCAATCTTATTCTGCAGCCTAGAGTCTTCTATCTGAGCTCTTCCCTCTTTTACCATCTTGGCTGTTGAAACTCTGCTGGACACTGCGGTGGTGATTCAAGTTCTGCTTCATTTCATGCTGAAGGATTCACAAGGGTCGGCGGGGAGACGGCCTTGCCGTGGGGCAGCCTAGTCATAAAGTAGTTTAGTGACTTACAAAAGACCGATAGTTAACTGTCGGTTTGTTCTAAATCTGGCCTGGCTAAATGAATCCAAGTGGGCTGTTTTCTTATCAATGCAAAAAGACGCAAGTTTGGGCCGAGGGTGGCCCTCTTTCATGGACACATGCCTGGGGTACGGAGTGCCTGGGGTACAGTCTTGTGAGACGTGTACTCAACAGCATGGGGCTGAGTGGAGTGGCAGGGCCAGGGAGAGGATAATATGAAGATGTTGGTCAACTGGCAGCTGAGAACCTTATTCTAATAATAAATGTGTGCATTATTTTAACTTGGATCATTCCTAAGCCATTTACATCAGTATTTATTGCGTCCCTTATATACCTGGGATGTGACATGCTAGGTGGTCTAAGAGAGGCTCCTTTGATGTTTCTAACATTCTTTTGTTTCTAACATTCTTTAGAACAACACTGGGGATCTGGCTTCCTTCCTGGACCAATACTCTTGCTGAGAGGCTGCCACACAGAGACTGATGGGGAGAGCCGGGAGGAACTGGGCTAGGGGTCCCTCCACCCCCAGGCCAGCTTGGCGGTCCCTCTTTGTAAACCTCTGTAGACACGTACACTTTTGGGGTTCCAGTCCCTCGGCGCAAAATGTGAGAAATGATATTCCCCTCTGACTGCCCCAACTGTGGAGCCGACAGGCACTGACAGACAGACATACTTCTACATCTGCAGGACCCCGAAACCAAAGGGCCGCAATAACACGCTAGCCTAGGATGAGACTTTACTATCCGGACATGCCCTATAATGACAAGATGAAGCATGCTTAATTACAACAGAGCCTTTCAGAAACCGTCGGTTTCAATGGGTTCTGAGAACTTCAAAGCCAGCCACAAGTCAGGGGTCCTGCGAGACAATCCTTGCTGGGACATTCTCAACAGGGTCATAAATAGGATCTAGGCTGGTGCGTCAATACTTTAGCTGCCAAATATCCTGAGACTGTGCTGCTACATTCTTCTCCTTCTCTCCCCCCCCCCGCACACAGGTGTGCGGGGAAGAGCATGACTCCGCACCATCGGTAGGAACACGGCCGACGCTGTGACAGGGCAGAGGAAAGGGACACGCGTGCACATGGTCTCCCAGCTGTCCCGTGCTGACTGAAAAGTACGGAATACGGGGCTGCTGGCTGGTACTTTCACGAGACACTGCTATCAGGTTTGAACTGCTATTCTCCTCCTTGTAGAGACCTGACACTGAGTCACACATTAAGTGCCTTGTAAGAGAGGGGCGCTCCGGGAGGAACATGAAGAGATAGGCCCTTCTTCAACATTCTGGGTTTTCTGTTATCCCACAGCAGAGCATTTTTATAACTCTCTCCATCTCAAAAATCTTGATCTCCCATGCCAAAAGAGCAATGTTTAAGATTCCTGCTATTCTGAAACCTCTGCTTTAGCAACATGAATAGACTTTGGAAATGAGAATTAAAACTGAACAATAAGCCTCTGGAGAAAAGTTAACAACAGGGATTAACGTCTGCAGCATCTGTTGTTACCAACAACTGAAGACAATTTCTTAAAAACCAGAGTAAAATAACCGTGTAGACTTAAGAAAGGAAAAGGCAGTCCTCTATGAATGCTGTCAAACTGTTTACAGAGCACGAACAACTTTACCTCTCCTGCGACAGAATGTCGTGCCAGGGAAACAGCAGATACACACGGAACAGTCACCGAACAAAAGGATTCATTTACCCGAAACTGCTCTACAGCCTACCGTGTCTTCTTTGGAAAATAATAACAACAACAACAATAACAAAAGAACCTTGTTATTTTCTACAGTTGCATTATAGAATGGTCCAGCCACAGGGAAACAGAATTTTTTTTTTTTAAATAAC